TATATATATATATATATATATATATATATATGGGATTGACTCCAGTGAGATGACACCTTACAGTGCGATGACATGCTTCGGTCAGATGACGCAAAGCTCACCACACTACACTACAAAACTCTCCAATGGACAATGCAAAGCTCACCTGGAAATAAAGCAAAGCTCACCACTTTGAACCCCAAAACTCACCTTTTTTTAATTTTGAAAATTAAAAAATTAATTAAAAATAAAATAGCAACACCGGTCAACCACCGGTCAACGGCGGCCGCAGGCGGCGGAGCAGCGGCGGTGACCGGCGGCGGCAGGCGGCGGTCAATGCTGGAGTCAACGGTCAAAGTCTAGTCAGCACCCCTTCCTTTGATTTTATTTTTTCAAAAAAATTCAAAGTGTTGAAAAAAATATGGTGAGCTCTGCCTTACAGTTTGGTGAGCTTTGTAGTTGTGCTTGGTGAGCTTTGCGTCATCTGACCGAAGCATGTCATCGCACCATAAGGTGTCATCTCACTGGAGTGAATTCATATATATATATATATATATATTATTTGTCTCCTAATCGTCGCCTAGGCGCTCGCCTAGGCGTCATGGCGATACCTTGGCGCCGTGCCTCACCTTGGCGCCGTGATAACTATGATTCCAAATCCAAAATGATCCAAGGTGCTAGTAGTAAAACAACTTAAGCAAAATTCAAAAGTAATTCAAACTTAAGATTCAGACTCACATTTTAAGATATGAATATATTATGATAATATCTCATCTTCGTCAACTTCTTGAACCATTCGGTTACTAGTTGATGCCCGAACCTGCCTCTTTCAAAACCAAGTCTCAGAGACTTGTCTTCAACCCTTCCGGAACAGTAGGACATTCTATTGTGTTAGGATGCCCTCCGATCAGATGTTGTTTGAATCTTCTAATCCCACCATTACTTGTACAACCTCAAAAATTGCATACAAAATCATTACTCGAGCTTGGTTTCAGCTTTGTGCATTGTCCCCCAGCCAAAGAGCACGGCATTTTAGGTCGCAGGTTCCAGATTCGTGTGAAACTCAGGCTGTGAAGAAGAAGAAAAAGGTTGTCGCAGGTTCCCTCCCTCCCCTCTCGAGTCCGATCGGCAAAGAAGAAAAAGAGGACAAGCGACGGTGGCGATTGGGAAAAGTTAGTCACGGCTGAGTTTGACCAAAAAGAAAATGGTTTTGTATTTGTATTGGGCCTAACTTATTAGACCTTCTTGAGCCTGACCTAAGCAAAAAAAAAAAAGGCGACAAATAGCGATGGCGCAAGAATGGCGCGCTGCCACAGGATACTCGATCGCCACAAGCAGGTTTATGGCGCTGGGAGGGCAAAACGCCAATGGCGCATTTATGGCACGCGCCATTGATAACACTGAGTGTTCGGGTCGTATATAAGATGTCGGCAAACAACAAGTGAGTAGTGTTCGGGCAGATGAAGAATGTGATGTTGACGTATTGGTTTACTGTGTAGAGTCTACTACAGACTCTTGGGTTATGGATTTTGGTTCTTCGTTTCACGTCACACACAATGGGGAAATTATGGTGGATCTGAAAGGAGACTTTGGAAAGGTACAGTTAGGCAACCGTGAATTTCTTAAAGTAACAGGCATGGGAGATGTTAATCTGAAGACTCCATTGGGTACTACATGGAACTTACAGAAGGCTTGATGAAGAAACTTCTGTTCGTGAACTAAATAAACTGGGATTGGATGTTAAGTTTGGTGGTGGTAAATGGAAGGGGATGGATGGGAATCTGGTGATTGTTCGTGGAAAGAGACGGGGATCATTGTATATGGTAGAGGAACCTGCTTAGGGAGTGACCGTCCTGGTTAAGCAAAATAAAGTCTGTTTCACTGAATCTAGTAGATGTAAGAGGGTTCAATTTGCAAACGTGAAGCTTGGAGCCATGAGGATGTCAGTTGAATGTGTTCGGAAGTTTAAAATACTTAGGGGATTGGGGGATAGTGGGAGCACGGGACGTGTTCCGGATAGAGTTTAAAAGAACCGTTTGGTTATGAAGAAAAAGATTCCGACTGGAAAATTCTCTCCTGAAGATAGTTTGCATGATGTGGAGAGTGGTAATGATCCTTGGTGCATCTCTAGATCCGGTGGATTGTGCAAGCCGGATGAGACAAAGGATGGGTGGAGACTGGTGAGTTGGAGCTCAATTGGAGCTCAGAGGAGCTTCAATGGCCCCTCGGGTACTTGATGAGAGGGGCGGTTGCAACTAGGAGGATATGGCATGGAGTTTTAGCTTGTTCTGAGGAACTGAGGCTTTAAGAACTTGTTTTGAAGATTACTGAAGTTACTGGTGCTAGGTTTGCTTGGATGGTATTTGTAGATTGTGCAAAGGATTCAAGTGTGAGATTGTTGGATGTGAAGCCTTTTGGGCCTTTGGCCTGGTGTGGCAAAAGTTGAGCAATTGGGTCGCGCCCGCCCTAATTGCCTTTGGGCCTGTTTATTGTTATCTTGTTGCCTAACCTTTGCTAAATCTAATTAGTCTTATAAATACCATGCTATGTAATTGTGATCTTTACACCTGAATAAAGAGAAACCCTAGTTGCAACCCGTGGAGTAGGTCACACTGACCGAACCACGTTATATTCTCGTGTCATTTTTTTCTTTTCGTTTGTGCTTGTGTGTTTTGTGTTTCCACTGCGCTTATCTACTCTGATTATTCCTCACAGTATTGTATTTGTGCTTTCCCTGCTTTATGTATCTACTGTGGTCCTTCTATATGTGCAACTTGAGTCGGGGGTCTCTTGGAAGCAGCCTCTCTTCTTTTGAGTAGGAGTAAGGCCTGCTTTCACACACCCTCCCCAGACCCTACTTTCGTGAGATCCAACTGGGTTGTTGTACCAACTAGTTCAAAATTGTAAGGAACAACAAAATCGTAAGGAACAACAAAATCGTGTGATAACTTGTGACTAGGGCGTTCTAGACGATCAAGAATAGGAAAGATGGCAGTGACAATGGAGATTGGAGAGTCAGAGATGGAGAGAGAACGATTGGGATCTTCTGATAAGAAACCCTAGGCATTCCCTTTCCCGCCTCCGTATTCAGTTCCTCATCCACATTATTTGATTAGCCATATTTCGGATTTTAGATTAGTAACCTTTCTTTGGTCATTTCGGTCCAAACCTGGATCATTTTAGGCTTGGACCGGAATAGTCCAAAACCCGTATGCTGAACTTTTATGGACTGAATATCGACCCTGAATATAGTCAATTTGAGTTCAGTTTGGACCTAGCGGTCATGTTTGATCTATTTTTTCGGTTTGGACCTAGTGTTGAATAGCCTAGTTCCAAGGGAGACCCTAAAAGAACAATGCATATGGTCGTTTTGGTCAGTACATATTTAATTACTCCAATTTTTGTTACATTCTTTTTGCGAAGTACTCTTTTGACTCTGGACTATTAGCTTAATAAACGTGTCTTGTGTTTCGGCTAAAAATTAACACTAGTTTGTAAATTTTCATCTGCAGCCACCAGCAGCCCCGCGTGCGAGGAGCAAAATGGATTCCCTTGTGTTCATGACAGATTCTGTTAAAAGTAGAAAGGTGGAGGAGTGTGTTACTGATAGGAGACTTACTGTTCTTGAGGCCATCCAAGATGACTCAAGGGAAACTTCTAAAGATGATATGGAGGTTGAGATAAAAGTCGAAAATGTTGAAAGGCCTGTTGATCTATACAAGGTATTTTTTTAAAAAAAATTGTTTTTTCTGACGATTCACTGTGTTGTATTTGCCATTTTGGAATTCTATATTCTATTCTCTGTCTAATGAAAGAATATGTTTCAAAGACTGCCCAAAAAAGATCTAACAAAACTATATATAGTATTTTTTTAAAAAATTACCATACAAAAAATTACTGTACATATGAGAAATATAAGCTAAACCTACAAATAAGTTTAAAGTATATGCTTCGCCTTGATGGATGTTGAAGATTAGCAGTGTTCTCTAGGTTCTGTTTCTTTTTTGAGTTTTTTCTTTCTTTTTCTGCAGGCTATATTTTCAGATGATTCAGATGATGAAGAAGAAATGATTAATCACTCCACAGTTGAGGAGCCTAAAAAGAAGGTAGATGTTGCTAATACAACTCTAAACCGTTTGATTGCCGGTGACTTCTTAGAATCATTAGGTAAGGAACTAGGTCTCGAAGTCCCCCCAGATGCACCACCACCTTTTCAAGAAACCAAACCTGCCCCTGAAGACGAGAAGGGTGGTCCCACTCGTAATAATAATAATAATAATATTAATAATAATGATAAAAATAAAATCAATAACACAGCAGAAGCCGAAAGAGGCACCCCTCTCCATGAGTATGAAACATCTTCCACTGATAATGCTAGAAATCTAGCATCCACACCTCATACTACAAACAATAATATTCCACAAAAAGGTGAAACCACGAAAGCTGAAGCTGGTCGGCCGCATCATGGCTGGAGTAGTGATGATTCCTCAGAAGGGGACAAGAGGAGTGGGAAACGGAAGCACCGCAGTCGTAGACGAAGGACTAGCTACAGTTCAGATAGTGATTTGTCTGAGGATTATAAGCGCAAAAAGGATAGAAGAGAACATAAGCGGTCATCAAGGGAGTCAAAGCACCATAAGCATCGGAGACGGGGCTCACCCACCAGCAGATCTTCTCACCATGGTTCTCGAAAAGAAGTCAGGGAATCCCGAAGAGAGAAACACAGACATAAAGAATAAGAGTATGTATGACCCGCCGGTTTGATTAAGAATTACGGAAGTTGGGTTTTGGCGAGGAGGGGGGGGGGGGTTGAAGATTTTTTTATATCTCTTCCTCCCAAATGAAACACGCCATAAGGGGATCACATCTATCTTTTGCCATATTTGAAGTTGCATTGTGTTGCTGGAGATGCTGTGACCATTGTGGTTTTCCTAAAGGTCTTATGATCATCCAGTTTTGACTTTGAACATACATACGAGTTATTGCTTGCAAAATATTTGGAAAATATGGCAGAGACAAAACATTGGGTGATAATGGATGCATGTAGGGGTTAAAGCAAATGCATATATTATGCAAAACCTTTGCTTTGTTTCTTGCGTTTTCCATTTGAACTGTATGCTTTGCTTTATATATATATTCTCGCACGAAGAGTCACCAGAAAGATTCATGTGGCCTTGGATCGAGCTGCATGTCTGTGGCTCCTCTAAATGAGTGGTCACATGTTCGAACCCTGGCCACAAATGATTCTTTCTGCTTCATGAGATACTACATATGAACAAGCACTATATCGCGATATAGTCACGTTGTTCGTTGTTGAACATAGTTCAACGAACAACTCATTTGAAACGAAATGAGTTGAACATAGTTCAACGAATCTCTGTTCTCTGTTCTCTAGTCACTTCGTACCTCTCCCTTACGGTCGAGGTACGAAGTCACTCGAAGAGGAATCTTCGGAATCTTCGAGGTACGAAGTCCCTTTGGTCGTACCTCTGTACCTCTTTTTGTGCTACTCCTAGGGCGGGAAATTTTAAAAGATTTCAAAGTGACATTCAAGAAATAGAAAATGGAGTAAATGATCTTTAATGATTTGAAAGGTTGTTTCACATAGGAAATACTCTATTGACCACTTTTAAATACAGAGGCATTCATTATATTATATTTTCTCAATGTTTGTTTTTTCTAATTTTATATTTCATTTTTTTTGAACACTAATAATTCTATAACAAATGTAGTATCTGTTTATATATACTTTCTCAGCTTATTATAGCTTTTAAAGTTATCGCAACCATTGGGGATTGAACTGTTGACACCCTTTTTAGTTATTTATATGTTAAACTCTAAATTTTGGTTAAGAGAATTTTTCCCCATTTAATTTTTCTTGGTTAAACTTTGTAAGTTTTGATTGCAATGTGCAGAAAAAATATATTGCATTATGATGTAAATGCAATAACAATAAATATATTTTGGAATGTTTGTAAACTATATCTCTATATAAATATAATTAATTGTCGAAGTGTTTAATTGGAGTTTGTTAAAAGTCAAATAACAAAAAAATTTCTGGACAATGTGAGTATATGAAAAAGGAAAAGGGTTATCTCTTGTATGGTGCGGAGTAATAATCAAATTTACTTGGAAGGTTCACACATATACTCTCAGATTTAGTTGATTATGCAATATCTCCCAAATTACTTTTTATACATCAATATTTTGAAAAAGTACTAAATTCATACATGTGCTATACACATGTATCATGTTTAACAAAACTAGTATCACACCCGCGCGTTGCACGGGTCGCAATTACGTTGTAAATTTACATTGGTATCATTATAAAAGGAAAGAAATACAACATATAATGAAATATACTCCCTCCGTCTAAAATTAAAGTTCTCACTTTCCTTTTCAGGACGTCCACAATTAATGTTCCCGTTTCTAATTTAGGAAACTTTTCCTTGTTAAAATGACTAAAATACCCTCCACTCCCTATTCCTCTTTATCTTTTTCTCTCTTTCTTTCCCTGTGCAGAATCGCAGCCACCCTCCCCCCAATTTCTTTTTCTTCTTTTCTTCTTCCTTACATTCTTTTTTGTCTCCAGCACCTTCTCTTCTTCTCTCTTTTCTTCTCTCTAGCCGAATCTTTCTTTTCTTCTTCTTCTTCTCTATTTTTTTTATTGTTCTCTACTTTTCTTCCTCTTTATTTTCTTCTTCCCTCCCCCTTTTACTCTGCTCGACCGACGGAGTTTTCTTTCTTTTNCCCCCCCCCCCCTTCAGATTCATCAGATTATTCAAATCTCTGTTAGATCTAAGCAATTCGCTTCAGATCTGGGTTCGATTCAGATCTGTGAAGCAACTCAGCATCAACGAAAGTTCTTCTCCTTCCTCTTCAAGTCATCTTCGGTTTTTCTTCTTCCTCTTAAAGGTCGCCTGCGAGAATTCTGAAATTTTGAGATTGGGGGAAATTTCTGGAAGTTTGATCAATTTTGTCACTAAGTTTTGCTCTTGCCGATTCTGGTCTTCTGGAATAATGGGAGAGGGGGTGTGGTTGGACGGCAGTATGGGTGGCCAGGGGTGGGTAAGTGGGGTAAGGTGGAGGGTATTTTGGGAAAGTCAAAGCAGATTTTAAGTTTTATTAAACTCCGTGTCAAGTCAAAATGAGAACTTTAATTTTGGACAGAGGGAGTACGATTTTTTAGTATTGTAAAGCACGAATATCTATAAATTACAAATTTTGAAAAACCTCTTTATAAACTACATTAGTGGTACATTTTGTTGAGACATCCTCTGCGTTGCAAATAAGAATCTTCAGGTCATTGCGATTTGTTACCTTGAAACCGCAACATATAATTGTCCATTACTAAATACGGGTTTCCGTAACAATAATCCCACGTGTTTTAAAGATTGGCCTTGACTCTTATTAATCGTCATTGTATAAGAAGTAACCACAGGGAATTGTCTTCTTTGAAACTTGAATGGTGTTCTTGCATCAGATGGTGTCAGTGATAGTATTGGAATAACAATTAACTTCTTGACCCATGTGTCTTCCAGATAAAATCTTTCCTTGGATCGAGTGATTAGCCAACCGAGTTACTATCAATCGAGTATCATTACACAAACTCATCGAATGATCAATGTTTCTTAGTAACATAATCGGGGTGCCTACCTTCAAAATGAGCTCATGATTTGGTACTCCGAAAGCACGAATCTTATTCAAGAACTCAGGACTATGCAAGTCGTTAAAGAAATTCGAATTAGAGTCCGAGTTCTCAACCTTGTCGGAACTAAGATAAGTGCGTGATTCCTCATTGGGATTCATCGATGTCAGATATTCATTTATAGAATCGACGACATCCAACGTTGGAGCCAAAATTGTACGGTCGTGCAAATAGGTTGGATCATTTGCTATTTTATGAAAATCTGGATATGTGGAATTTACTATAGTAGCTATAGGATTTCCCGAAGATGGAAGCAACATATCATTAAGTATTGTTACTTCTGCATAGCCATCATGTTCATCTCCTGCAACTCCATCGCCAATACTTGCAATCCATTCAGCGAATCCAACTAAATGGTCGTAACTACTATCTCCAATCATTGATTGCAGACGCATGTTTTTTGTTAAACGCAACACAGTGCAATCTTTCCAGATGTACGAAGAATTAATCATCAAATTAACAATGTCTTGTCTGGTTCCTTTTGGAATTACTGACAATATTTGCCGGAAATCTCTGCCAAAAACTACTGTTTTTCCTCCAAACATTTAGTTTTCACTCAATGCATTGGAAAATCGTAGAATGTCGCGCAAGCTTCTGTCTAGGGCTTCAAAGCAATACTTATGTGTCATTGGTGCTTCATCCCAAATAATTAATTTTTCCTTCACTAAGAGTTGTGCTAGTGGTGTCTTGCTTTATGTTGCAAGTAGAGTTCTCATCCAGGCACAACGGGATTTTAAAACGTGAATGCGTTGTTCTACCACCTGGCAAAAGTAAGGATGTTATTCCACTTGATGGGACATTCAAAACAATTTCACATCTTGATCGTTATGCGGCTGATAAAGTTCTCCAGACATATGTCTTCCATGTTCCACCGTATACATAGAAGAAGAAAACTTTCCCCGAATCTGTATTAACAGATTGCATTATAGCATCATACGCTGCGCGTTGTTTGTCATTTAATGATGCTAAAAGGGAAATGTGCTCACTCGCCAAGGTTACACGATCATATTGCATCTCATAAAAAATCATTCGATTGGCTGGAGCCCAAATTCCGTGCTGGTTTGCTTGTGGCATATTTGTTTAATCGCGAAGGCTCTTCCCATGACTTTGAAGCAAATCGTCTATATCACATAGAACATAATTTTGAATCTCTTCTTCTTTAAGTGTAAGACCTACAATGGTTAATAAAAATATATTATTAAAATGGGAATTTTTTTTTCTTTTAAGGTAAATTTTTCGAAATACGGAAAATGTAACTGATACCTTCGTGCTGTAAGATACGGCGTTGTCAGTGTAATACATCGTCTGCCATATATTGCCAGCATTGATCCCAAACGTGCCATGGCCTAGACATTGAATCACTTGTCAGTAGCGTCAGGAATAAATTCCTTAGGTGTGCAACAGAAGCCCACTCGCTTCTACAAATGCATCTAGGTATTCCCTATCATCATCAAGTAATCCCAAAGCGTAACATGCATCACAATATGATTCATGAATGATGCCATTAATAGTTCTGATATCTTCGTAACTTGTAGGACCACGTACAATGTCCAGAAGACATCTCAAGTAATAAGCTTAATCTGTTCATGGTGGAACGTAGCTCAAACGTCCTACAGCAAAGCCTCTCTTTCGAGGCTCATATTCTTTTTTATCTGACTTCCATACAAATTTGTGTGGAAATTCTGCATATGTCAGAGATCTTGCATCATCATACATTTTATTTGCCCTCATCCACGCTAAAAATTTACTCTCTTTGATGCTTTTTCGTCGCACAACTTCGGCAGTATCATCATCATCTTCGTAAAAAATCATTTGCTCACCCTGCATATGAAAGCTCAAGCGTTCTACACTTGGATTTTAATAATGTATCTCATATCCAAAAATTCTCCATGTAGCTTCACTAGGACAAATATATCTACAATCATAATAGAGCTTGATTTCATTTGTCTCGTCCATAGCTGGATCAGTGGAATTTAAAGAGTTTGCATAAAAAATAGCAGTCACTCGATCATGCCCTTTGTTGACGTACTTAAACAAGTACTTTATTGAACGTGATTGATTACACCATTTGACGTTCAAATGAGCTCCGTATTTCAGTAGCAAGTACCTATTATGTAGCACAACAGAACGATTGTCTAAAATGATACCATTTTTTTCAATAATTCGTCCATCGTTACGCCTTCTGTATCTTGGATATCCATATTCATCAATGGCAGTATCACTAATAAAGTGTTTAGGAAAATTTCTCTTGCATCTACCATTGTCCATGCAAGAGGAGTAAGGTGCAAACAGTCCGCAAGGTCCATGAACCATAAAGTCGCACACTGCCTAGAAATATTTTGGATCCAAATCTTTATCTGGAAGCCCAGTAGTAATAATTTTGTCAATATCTGCAGGCGTAGGAAATTTGTTTTGTTGGGCCAGAAATAATAATAATATATGCGCATGTGGCAATCCTTGTTTCTGGAACTCAACTGTATATATAACTGCATTCGATAATAAAATTAAATAGTTAATCGAAGTCTATGCATGAAAGTATTCAGATAAAGTTGAAAGAGACAACAATATAATATTGTACATGCTCGAACTGTACCAAATAGCTTTTTTCTATGTAGTTCTTTTATGAGTTCCTTTAATTTCATATGAAACACTCGGCAACATATATCTGGACGGTCTTCTGGCCTTAGGGTTCTTTTCTCTAGAAATCGTGTTTGCAATATAGCCGTAGATCTTGTTTGCGAAATTATTCTTAAAAGTATTTCTTTTTAAGAATAGAGTGATTAAGTAAATAATTACCTATTTAATTAGGCGTAAATAATTACTTTTTGATAAAATAATTAGGCGTAAATTATTCCAAGTAATTAGGCGCAAAGAATTACCTATTTAAAAAGGAAACAAAAAAGAAAAAATATCATGTCTGCGAAATTATTCTTAAAAGTATTTCCTTTTAAGAATAGAGTGATTAAGTAAATAATTACCTATTTAATTAGGCGTAAATAATTACTTTTTGATAAAATAAATAGGCGTAAATTATTCCAAGCAATTAGGCGTAAATAATTACCTATTTAAAAAGGAAACAAAAAGAAAAAATCTCTTGTTTGGAAAATTATTCTTAAAAGTATTTCCTTTTAAGAGTAGAGTGATTGAGTAAATAATTACCTATTTAATTACGCGTAAATTATTCCAAGCAATTAGGCGTAAATAATTACCTATTTAAAAAGGAAACAAAAAAGAAAAAATGTCCTGTTTGCGAAATTATTCTTAAAAGTATTTCCTTGTAAGAATAGAGTGATTAAGTAAATAATTATCTATTTAATTAGGCATAAATAATTACTTTTTGATAAAATATTTAGACGTAAATTATTCCAAGTAATTAGGCGTAAATAATTACCTATTTAAAAGGGAAACAAAAAATTAAAAATCTCCTGTTTGCGAAATTATTCTTAAAAGTATTTCCTTTTAAGAATAAAGTGATTAAGTAAATAATTACCTATTTAATTAGGCGTAAATAATTACGTACTTTTTTGATAAAATAATTAGGCGTAAATTATTCCAAGTAATTAGCCGTAAACAATTACCTATTTAAAAAGGAAACAAAAAAGAAAAAATCTACTGCACCGTCCCTTCCTTTTTTATCACAATCAAGTAATTAGGCAAACTTGGTTAGGAAACAAATTAGTCCCTTCCTTTTTATCAGAATTAAGTAATTATGCATGCAAAATTTTCTTTAATTTATCATTTTAAATAGGTAATATTACACAATCAATCATAGCCGTAGATCTTGTTTGTTCCTTGATATCGACGGTGCAGAAGATGAGTGCATTGGGCGGGAAAATAATTCCCCTGCTTTTAAGAATAGAGTGATTTATATTATGATCAATTTCTTCCAAGAAAATAATTTTATAAAAAAGAAATATATTTAAGTAAAGAGAGAAGATAAATATAAATAATACTCACTCCGTCCCAATTTATAGTGTTTGTTTCGATTTACGATGTTTGATTGAAATTATTTTCAAATCATTTTATATGACAAATGGTATAGAGTTAAAAAATAAAAATTATATATTAAAATACTACATCAAAAGATCTACAAAACTAGTATTGACAATATTACTTTATTTTATAAAATTACTAACGAAAATGAATGAAGCTTGATCCTGTGAATAGTGAACAAACATTATAATTTGGGACGGAGGGAGTACGTTGTATATTAGAGAAGCATATCATTTCATAGAATTTGGGACGGAGGGAGTATTTAATTTGATTTGATATAAGGTTTGCATGGAGCCACACACCAACTTTTACACTTTTCTCAACTTTTAGGGACAAAAAAAGTAATATTCATTTATATTAACCTCTAAAAAATGTTCATTTATATTTTTCAATTCAACGACATACAATAAACAAATGTCTCTCTTAAGAATCGAACTTGGATTAATTTCCCATAAGATTCTGGGGGAGAAGTTAGGTCAAATTGAGTTGAGCAAACTCAAAACAATGAAAAAGTAAAATACTCGTTTTGTCCTTTATCTCTTTTCTCATTTGAGTTCCTATACCTCTAAGAGCACTTCAACTCCTTATTTTATAATTTATCTCTCCAATCATTCTTTCTCATCCATATTATCTCCACATCATCCATCTTTAAATACCTTATTTTTTAAATAAATAGTCACAATCCATTTCATCCACATCTATCGATCTATTTAATTATTTATGGATCCCACTAGTAATTTACTTCATTTGTAATTTTAAATATTTTATATTTTGTATTATATTAAAAAATAATATTAATTATTTATCGTAACATAATGGATGAATAAAAAGTACAAAACTATCATTTATTTAAAAATTATATGAATTTATATTTAGAAGAATCAAATTAGAGAAAAAAATTTCAAAATTTTAATATAAGTATAAATTCAATAATATTAAATTTACTAAATAAATTTTTTTTCAAAGATAGAAAAAAATTATTTTACAGTTTAATAATTAAAAATAATTGATAAATAAACATAATTTATAGAGTAGTTAAAATATTAATTAATTATTTATTATAATATAATTGAAAAAATTATTTTGTGGGTGGAGCCATATATCAACATGGATGGGGCCTATTGGTGTAACATTGTTACAACAATTCAATTGGAATACTTGCGTTGTTCCGATCGTAAAACTGATTGTTCTTACCCTCTAAAACCCCCGGTAAACCTTCCTACCCCGCTCCGATCCCCCTCGCAACCCCTTTGGAAATTTCATTGCACCAAATTTTGTTGACTTTCAGGTCAAATTTTAAACCAAATTTTGGAGCAGTGAAATTGGCAGGCATGCTGGAGTGTGTTGGGGATAAGGCAGGCTAGGGGTTTTACCAGAAGGGTTAGGGGAATATGAACAATCAATTTTACGATCGGAACATCATATGTATGTAATTGAATTGGTGTAACGATGTTTCCACCAATTGGGTTGGTGTAACATTAACTTTCCTCTTAAACAAATTATCCTCTCTCACCATCCATTTGTTCATTGACAATGGTTTAAATATGTGAATGCATCCATTCATATTATTAGATATTGATTAAATGACACTAATAGAGATTCTCTAATCTAACATTTTGATCATTAATATTAATGTATATATAAAAATAATATTTTAAAACTACATTTTAAAGTCAACCTATTGATATTAAATTCATATCACATTTCAAATTATTAGTCCCTTTGTCCTAAAACTTTTCTTCTAGGATATTATTTACATAATCAAACTTTGATCACTTTCTTTATTTATATTCGTTAGTTAATTGATAAAATAACATCGTTATGTCATCTCTTCTTTTGTAAAATTTCATATGTAGTTTTTAAATATATAATTTTTGTCTGTTAATTTTAAAACTACAATCAAATAAATTGAATAGAAAATAATTTTAGTGAAACTTAATAAATTGAAATGATAAGAAAGTTTCAAAACGAAGAGAGTATTTTTTCTTTAATTTGTAATCAAATTTTGAAAAACATAAGGATATTGCTTATGCAAAACTGGATCAAGATTGTACTAGAAAAGTAAGAAAACGGCGAACAAATTCTCTCTTCTAAGGGAATTTCCCCGGAGCTCCGTCGGCATTGCGTCGTAGCCCACAGACGGTTTGGTAAGTTTGGGTGGGAGACAAAAACAAGAAGAAAATCTAACCGAATATTTAGTCTACCCTCTTTATTTGTTTTTGTTTCCAATTATAAAAGATGCACTGATATTTTAACGATTCAAGAAAATATTAATTCAATAAAAAAATTATAATAACATTTTAGATTATTGTATACCATCACACTAGCACAATATTAGTGTATGCCTTCGGGATTCAAAATGAGTTATAGTTTTGACAAATTTTATGATGAATCTAATGTCACCATTAATTTACATATAAACAAAATAAATATTTTTTTAGTACTTAGATAAACATTTATGGGATAATTTACCTAAATAAGACTAAAACATAATGACTTTCTCAATATAGGATCATATGTTTTTATGTCCCAATGTAGAACCATTGGTCATTATCTATTTGTCATTATTCAACTAAATGTCTGGCATCACTTGAAGATTATTCTTCTCACTAGTCATTATTAAATCCAGAATAAAAAAACTTAAGTCCTACATTGGGAAATGACTTATATTTTAATTCTATTCAATGCAAATTTCACAACTTTTATTTTTTTTAAAATAAAAAAATAAAAAAAATATGTTTTATGTGAGAATATTCCAAAAAATGGTGCACCGAGACACTTTTGTTTTTGTTTTGGATAGGGACGACACGTCTTCTTCCCTTCCCCCCTTCTTTGAATCGTTCCTGCACAGCTTTTGCTGACGCTAAATTTTGTCGTCATTTCTATATCCAAATCTCTCAAACTTCCCTTAATTACCCTCTTCTTCCACACCTTTCTCTCCATAGATTCCATCCCATCTTTTCTTTATCATTCAAAAAAGATTCCACCGTCGACAAGCGTTGTATTTATTTCAATTTGAATTCTTTTTTCAGAGAATCTATGGATGCTTCCATGATCAGATGCTCCCAGGTGCTTCCCGGCAGGTCCGATTTGGGATCCGTCCACGGCGTTAGGGTTTGTGCTTTTAACAAAGCCTCCCAACAAGCTAAGGCCTCTTCTTCTTCCACGATGAATTCCAACTCGTGTTTACTCCAGACTCTTGTGCGGCCTTCAAGCCGTTCAGCTCGCTTAACCATTAAAGCCGCCTCTGCCGAGCCGCGCGTTGCTGATAGAGTTTGTGGAACGAGAAGATCTTCTCATGTATGTCTTCTCTATCTATGATGAATTCATTGCTTTAATTTAGAGATTCCCTAATTTTTAGAAACGATGATGTGTTAAAACATTTCTTCAAATCTTTGGACATGTTAATCCATTAGTAGATTCAATGTGGTTTGGCTCAAGCAAGCCCTATGATTGTGTGGTTATATTTCTACCTAATATAAAAGGATCGATCTAAACTGCTTCCGTTTAAGATAAAGGTCGAAAATTAAGGTTTTCAGTTCTTAATTACTTTGATTGAGTAACACAATTGAATCACCTCTTTCCTTAAAAGCTGAGGTGATTTGGTAAGCGGACAACAAAATCCGAATGGAGGGAGTGTGTATTAACTTATGATGATCAATTGAAAGCTCCACAGCATACGCCTTCTTGTGTTGACTTTGATTTGCTGCAAAAATCTTTTTTTTTTTTTGTAGATTGATCATTTGAAACTTTATGTTGGGATGCCAATGGATGCAGTCTCTGAGTCTGGGACCGTAAACCACGCACGAGCTATTGCAGCTGGACTAAAAGCTCTGAAGTTACTGGGTGTAGACGGCGTAGAACTGCCGATCTGGTGGGGTTTTGCAGAAAAGGAAGCCATGGGAAAGTATGACTGGACCGGCTACCTCGCTGTTGCTGAAATGATCCACAAGCTTGGCATGAAGCTTCACGTCTCGTTCTGTTTCCATGCATCATCCTCCACGGAACACAAAATTTCACTCCCCGATTGGGTTTGCAGAATTGGGGAGTCCGATCCTAGCAGCATTTTCTATACGGACCGGTCAGGACGCCAGTACAAAGATTGCTTGTCCTTAGCTGTTGATGACCTTCCCGTTCTTGATGGAAAAACTCCTGTGCAAGTGTACCAAGCTTTCTGTGAGAGCTTCAAGGCAGCATTTTCCAAGTTCATGGGTTCCACAATAACTGTGAGGAATATTTGACTCCACTCTCTTTTCATCTTCTATTAACTGCACGTGAGGAAAATCCCCGTGATACGGAGTAATAATAATAATAGATAGTTAAGGTGCTCTTTTTTTTGGACAACAGGGCATATCAATAGGTTTAGGGCCAGATGGCGAGCTTCGATATCCTTCCCATCACCACCAAGCATCCAAGAGCAGGAAGAAGCTTGTTGGAGCCGGGGAGTTCCAGTGTTACGACAAGAACATGCTCAGCCATCTGAAGCACCACGCGGAAGTGATTGGCAACCCATTGTGGGGACTTGGTGGTCCCCACGATGCTCTGAGCTATGATGAGTTGCCGAGCTCGTCCAGCTTCTTTAAAGATCATGGAGGATCATGGGAGACGGCTTACGGCAATTTTTTCCTTTCGTGGTACTCCAAACAGCTCATTGCACACGGGGACCGGCTCCTCTCTGCTGCTGCCTCTACTTTCAGGGACTCCCCAATTACAGTTTCCGGAAAACTTCCCCTGATCCATTACTGGTTTAAAACCCGTTCCCACCCAGCCGAGCTCACAGCCGGGATCTACAACACGGTCATCAGAGATGGCTATGAAGAGATGATTGAGATGTTTTCCAGGAACGGCTGCAGCATTGTCTTGCCAGGAATGGACCTGTGTGACGAGCAGCAGCCAAGCGAGTCACTCTCAAGTCCGGAATCATTACTAGCACATATCATGTCATCTTGCACGAAACACCGAGTTGAGATCATGGGGCAGAACTCGGTGGCCTCCAATGCCACCGGCAGCAGTTTCCAACAGATGAAGAAGAACTTGCTGCATGAGGAAGAAGGCGCGGCGGTGGCGATCAGCTTGCTAACCTACCAGCGCATGGGGGCGCATTTCTTTTCACCTGAGCATTTTCCTTTGTTCACGAATTTCATTCGAAACCTTAGGGAAATGGGACTCGACGCAGACGATCAGCCTGCAGCAGGGAAGGAGGAAGAGCAAGTGGCAGCTGGCGCCGGCCGGTTTCTTTCTGGCAGGGAGCTACAGGAACTAGCTGCTTAAACATGTCTGCTGGTGTAGGTACTGTAATATAGTATGAATCTAGTTCGATTTTACTTGGACAACTGCAATACTATGTCAAATATACTGGGAGCTGTAACTCTGCAAGACGTAATCTAGTCTGGGGATTTTATTTATTTGCCAAGTATACTCTTGTAAAATATCTATATATATCACAGGCTTCTGTTTTACTACACATTTTCACCATGTTTATGCGATGACATGAAGCCAAGTATTGAATGCACATACTGGCATACATATAAATTTTCAAACTTTTTCACGCATCCACATATGCATTTAGAGTTTAATCTGAATGAATTTGATGAGATTTTATTCAGGTTTAATATGATTTTAGTTGAACTTAAAATTGTTTATGTTCTGGTCTAATTTGATGTGATTTGAATAATGATAAGTAGCAAGTAATAAGAAAATTAATGATAAAGGAGCGCTAGTCTTATAGAATCTGGCACAAGCAGCCATGCATATATTTTTAGGAGTAATGCTTGGGGTACACTTTTTTGGTTACCCTTTCTTAAGAAAAATATGAATGGTTCATTTATCAATTAATTAGGTCATGCTCCATCATAAGTTGCAGGAACAAATTGTCCATCATCACCATCAAGTTGTCATTTGTATAGTATGTATACTATTTGTAATAGTGTTAGCACTAAGCCTCTCTACTATAAATAGGAAGTTTAGGATCCCTGCAAATCACCATTAAGAACAAGAAGAAGAGTGAAGAATCAATAGAGAGAAGAAATCAGAAATATATCATATTTATTTTCATAATCTCTGAGTAATTTTTTCTCATTTTATAACACGTTATCAGCACGAATTTGCTCAACATCCCAGAAACCTTGTTCTTCTATATTTCATCAAGAAATTCTTTATATTTTTTATAAAATATTTTCTCAAAACTATGAGAAGTATGCTATGTGATTGCCCAAATTTGGGATCCTTCACATCAGAAAATCTTGTTTTTAACAAATTAAAACAAGAGGTAGAACTTGATACATAGTAGCTAAGATTAAAAAAAATCAAAATCAATTTTACCTTTCTAAATTGATATTAAAAAAAAGGAAAAATTGATATAAATATTCCCAGAAATTTGAAATTTTACAATAATACTCCCAAATTTAATAAAAGACTCTGGTGCTCCCAATTAAACTATAAGTTTACATTGCTACTCCCACTATTCCTAATCAGCTTTTCTTATGCTCACATGTAAGTCATTATGCTTAGTTGACATCTTAGTTGTTTTTTTTGTTTTAATAAGAGAAAAAAATTGTATAAATACTCTCTGAAATTCAAAATTTTACAATAATCTCTCAAAACCAAATAAAGATTCCAGTACTCTAAAAAATATCTTCCTTTTACGTGTTATGATGTTTAATAAAAGTGGTATGAAATCAAAAAATAAAATTATATATCTAAAAACTACATTATAAGATCTATAAAACTAGTAATGATATAATTATATTATTTTAGCAAATACATAATTAATATAGATAAGCAAAGTAAATAAAATTTGATCTTGTTAATACTCTTGATAGTGAATGAGAAGATAATTTTTGGACAGAGGGATATTTTTTATTAAAATATAAAAAACTACTTAAGATGCCAATTAAGCTCAATTAATTAATCTTTAATATTACTAAAAAAAATATTTTTACATATTACTATATTAGTTTTTAATATGTAATTTTTATTTTTTAATTTCACATTATTTTTCATATAAAATACTTTAAAAATAATTTCAGTCAAATATAGTAACGTGCAACGAGAATATACTTTTAGGAGAATTGGAGTCTTTATTTGATTTTGGGAGAATTATTGTAAAATTTTGAATTTCTATGAGTATTTATATAATTTTTTCCTCTTATTAAAACAAAAAACAACAACTAAGATAACAACTAAGCATAATTACTTACATGTAAGCATAAGAAAAGCTGATTAGAGATAGTGGGAGTAGTAATGTAAACTTATACTTTAATTGGGAGCACCAGAGTCTTTTATTGAATTTGGGAGTATTACTGTGAAATTTCAAATTTCTGGGAGTATTTATATCAATTTTTCCAAAAAAAAATGAAATATAAGATGTAAGAGATTTTTAAAAAAAACAATCTTTACCTTAAATCATTTCATGGTAATCTGTTGCCTTCTAGTAATATTTTGTTGGGTTTGTGGAGGCTTGGGCTTGACTTGTAGGCCCGGCCCATGTTTTGTAACCCTATATTTTTCTCCTATATATTAGCCCTTGTACTTGTAATTCCGTGAGACACGACAAGTGAAATAGAAATCCTCCTGTTGCAGCTGTGGAGTAGGGAAATCGAACCACGTTAATTTCTTGTGTGTCGTCCGTGTTCCGTTTCCCTCGTTTCTCGTAGATTATTTGGGTGTGTTGTGTGTTTAATTCCCAACAAGTGGTATCAGAGCAAGGTTATTCAACACGAGCACAAATTGTGAGAAATTTGTCGCCTAGGGTTTTTCAGATCTGTGCGTGCTGAGCCGCCGGGATAGATCTAAGATTCCAGTAGTCCAATCTGAGATTGCCGTTCAGATCGTGCCGCCGTCAGCCGCTGATCCGTCCAGGTGCCGCCGCAGATGAGTCGTCACTCAACCAACCGTCGCTGAAGGAGCAGTGCGTCTGTCGAGCGAGACCGCCGCCGCCATCGAGAGGAGTCGCTGGGTCGGGATCTGTCGCTGTCGTAGAGGAATCGCCACCGTGTCGCCATCTCGATCGCCGCCTCCGATAGCCGCGCGCAGAAGGAGCCGCTGCCGCTACTGTCTTCAGTTGCAGAGCCGCCGGGAGTGACGCCAAACAGCCGCGGCAGGAGCGAACACCAGGGGTCGCCAACGCCGTCCGAGACGCCACCGCCGTCGGGTTGAGAAGTCGCCGCGCAGACGCAGCAGGACCGCTGCCATCTTCTCCTTCTTGCCCAATTGAAGCCGCCGATCGAAGGGGCTGTTTTTTTGCTTGGCAGGTGCGAAGGAAAAGAGGCCGGGCAGTGGGGTTGGGCCGTATTCAGCAGCCAAAGAATTGAAGAAAAAAGCAGTGGGCCAATTTGTTTTTAAATTGGTCAGCCATTTTCTTTTTGGTGTATTTGGCTTGTTTTGGTTTGGACTAATTAATTGGAGTGGTGGACCTGATTTTCTGACGAAAAAAACAAATACCAAGATCTGAAATTAGTTGTACCGGGTATCTCATCTAGTTATTTGAGATGACAGAAGATGGGAAGTTTCGAATTGATAAGTTTGTTGGTACGAAAAGCCATCTGCAGCGAACAAAGTGTTTCTGATCAGAGAGCTGGTGAACACAAGGATGAAAGAAGGCACTTCAGTTACCGAGCATATCAACAAGTTGAATTCGATCTTAGCCAGACTTTTGTCAGTGGGCATTAAGTTCGATGATGAAGTTCAACCTTTGCTACTGCTATCGTCTTTACCTGATAGTTGGTCCAGAATGGTTACAGCGGTTACCGGTTCAGTGAGACCCGATGGATTCACCTTTGATCAGATTCGAGATCTCGTTCTTGGCGAGGATGTCAGAAGAAAGAGTTCAGGGGAGTCATCTGGTGAATTGCTTCATGTTGGTAGAGGCAGAAGATAAGAAAGTGAACATTGCTGAAGGCTCCGCGAGTGATGAAGAGGTCCTTCTGACTTGTTGTACGGAGAGCAGTGTGGATTCCTGGGTCATGGATTCTGGTGCTTCATTTCATGCTACCCACAGTGGTAAAGCATTGCAGAATCTAGTTGTTGGAGACTTTGGAAAGGTACAACTTGCAGACGATAGAGCTCCTGAGGTGACGGGCATGGGTGACATGATATTGAAGACCTTAGTCGGTTTCTGGACTTTGAAGGATGTCAGAGTGGTTCCAGCTTTGAACAAAAGTTTGATTTCTGTCAGGCAATTGGACGAACATGGACACGAGGTGAAGTTCAGAGATGGGCATTGGAAGGTCGTAAAGGGAAATCTTGTCATGGCCCGCGGAAGAAAGAGTGGTTCGTTGTATATGGTCGAGTTACCATATGAGGGAGTGACCATCCTAGTTCAGAAGAGAAACAAAGTCCGGTTCACAGAGTCTCGTGGGCAAAATAAGGTTATCTATGCAAGAGAGAAACCTAGAGCCACAGGTCAGACTCAGGATGAACGAGCGAGGAAAGGTTCAAGGAGGCCAGTCAGAGGTATTTATGGCAGTGGGAGCTCAAGAGGCGCTTCAGCCAAGTTGCCTAGAAGACAGTGGGTCAGGAGAACCAGTATTCCAACTGTTGGAACATCTCTAGAAAATTTCTTACTGAGTATGGAGAGTGTTTGTTCTTAGGATGTTACAGGATCCGGCAGTGTGCGTCTACAGTGGGAGCCGGTAGGGACCGAGGACGAGTCAGGAGCAGATTTTGCCGTGACTGATGTGTTGGAGCTTGGGAGAGCTTCAACGGGCCTTTCAGTTGTCTGATGAGAGGGCCGCTGCAACAGGAGAGCTGAGGAAGATTACTCGATGTACAGGCAATCGTGGTGGATGGCAGTTGATGACTATCAAGTCTCCAAGTGGGAGAATGTTGGGTTTGTGGAGGCTTGGGCTTGACTTGTAGGCCCGGCCCATGTTTTGTAACCCTAGATTTTTCTCCTATATATTAGCCCTCGTACTTGTAATTCCGTGAGACACGACAAGTGAAATAGAAATCCTCGTGTTGCAGCCATGGAGTAAGGAAACCGAACCACGTTAAATTCTTGTGTGTCGTCCGTGTTCTGTTTCTCTCGTTTCTCGTAGATTATTTGTGTGTGTTGTGTGTTTAATTCCCAACATATTTTTCATCTTTAGAGTATGCCACATACTATAGTTTTGTTTTCTTCTTGCTAAAATTGGAGACATTAACAAGTTTTTTTAAAGATATCAATAGCTTGAATAATATAATAGCTCTAGCATATACGTACTATGGTTCACTCTTTAAAAAAAATTGGTGTACTTTATTTGTCTTTTAACAATTATTTGGAGCATGTGGTCAAATAATAATAATAATATTTAAAACAAAATAAATAAGAGAATAGAAAAGATTCCATACAATGTATGTGTTGCCTTTAAAGTACGAAGTACACTTGGTTTTTTTAAATTAGAATCTTATGATGTGTACTATGATGTGTATTATTGTTTAACATGTTCTCTTGCTTATATATAAAATTTTAAATTTTTTTTATTTCGTATATTTAAAAAAAATACTAATTTAATTAATATTTTGTAGTTCTCATGGCCAACATCACCAAAAGAGAATTCGACATTCTTGATTTATCCGGTCAAAGGTACCTGGAATGGAGGGTTGATGCACTAGCTCACCTTAAGGCTAATGGCCTCGAAAATAGAATTGCTGAAAATAATACATCATCATCCCAGCAAAGGGCAAAAGCCATAATTTTCCTTCGCCACCACCTCCATGAAAGTTTAAAATCTGAATATTTATTGGTGGAAGATCCGAAGGAATTATGGGATAATCTCCAAGAGAGATATGGACATCAACAAAAGATCCTACTACCAAGAGCTCAATATGAATGGATCAATTTAAGATTTCAGGATTTTAAATTCGTTTGTGACTATAATTCTGATATTTTCAAAGTCACGTCCACATTAAAATTATGTGGACATAATATCACAGATCATGACATGTTGGAGAAAACATTTTCCACCATGCATATGTCAAATGTGATATTACAGCAACAATACAGAGAAAAGGGTTTTAAAAAGTATTCTGAGTTAATCTCAATATTACTTATTGCTGAGCAGAATAATGAGCTATTAATGAAAAATCATAACATGAGGCCTACCGGTTGTACCCCTACAAATTTTGGCCATCCTAATTGTGGTTCAGCACCAGAATTAAATGTTATCCAAGGTGATGCACGCGGACACTTTAAACGTTGACGCGGAAATAACCGCAACAAAGGGCCAAACAGGGGATATAAACATCCAAATGAATCATCCTCCAAAGGAAAGGGAAAATTCAAACCACCACAGGCTAAAACTCATGAAAAGCCAAAACCAAGTGGTGAATGCTATAAATGTGGCATAAAAGAACATTGGGCTAATGAATGTCGAACGACAAAGCACTTGGTAAAATTATACCAAGCTTCCACAAAAGGAAAAGGAAAAAATGTGGAGGCTAATTATGCTGATGATATCAATCCAATTTTGCCTAAATTGGACGTGTCCGATTTCTACATGGATGATGCTGAAATTGGTGATGAAGTGGCATTTGATGGAACTACTACTATTTAAATATTTTCATTTACTCAGTTATGGCGTATTTATTTTTATTTTTAAATAAATGTTTGAAATTTGTATTTTATTTTGATGTGTATTTGTATTATTATGTCTATTCTAAAAATTATAATAAAATGTATGATATTTGTGTTAATTATCTTGAACTTATATTATTTATATATTTATTTGTATCCAATATATGGAGATAACTGCTTATGGCTCCAGTGGCAAAGAACAATGTTTAATCCTTCCCCAAGGGACATTGATGGAAACTAATGTATCCAATATTTTTCTAATCCCCAAGGGACATTTATTTGTATCCAATATTTTTCTCAAATGACATTGATGGAAACTAATGTCAATACAAACTCTGGTGTTGCAAAGCTCATTGAAGGGTCTGGAATGGCTTGTTTAATCCTTCCCCAAGGGACAAAATTAATTATCAAAGACGCATTATATTCCAGCAAATCCCGAAGGAATTTATTGAGCTTTAAAGATATGCGTCAAAATGGTTATTATATTGAAACCATGACAGAAAATCAAAAGGAATACTTGTGTCTAATAACAACCAAATCTGGCAATAAAATTCTTTGTGAAAAGATGCCAGCGTATTCCTCGGGGCTATATTATACTCGCATGAGTCCCGTTAAAGTGAATGTTGTCTCTAATAAAAAATTAGATGATCAGAAAACATTCATTTTGTGGCATGACCGTTTGGGTTATCCTGGCAGTGTAATGATGCACAAAATAATTCAAAATTCACTTGGACATCCATTGAAAAATATAGGGATTCCAAGATCAATTGATTTTCCATGTGTTGCCTGCTCTCTTGGAAAGATGATTGTTAGGCCATCTCTAAATAAAATTGGAGTTGAATCTCCTGCATTTTTAGAAAGAATTCAAGGAGATATTTGTGGGCCAATTGCCCCACCATGTGGACTATTTCGTTATTTTATGGTGTTGATCGATGCATCAACACGTTGGTCACATGTTAGTCTTTTATCTACAAGAAATTTTGCATTTGCAACACTCCTTGCTCAAATCATACGTTTGAGAGCTCAATTTCCGAATTATTCAATAAAGAAAATCCGATTTGATAATGGAGGAGAATTTACATCCCAATCATTTAATGACTATTGCATGTCTATTGGGATTGATGTGGAGCATCCAGTTGCTCATGTGCACACTCAAAATGGTCTTGCTTAGTCTTTAATAAAGCGATTACAATTAATTGCTAGACCATTATTGATGAAATCCAGTTTACCTGCATCTGTTTGGGGACATGCTGTATTGCATGCTGCAAATTTAATTCGACTAAGGCCTACTGCAAATCATATTTTTTCCCCATTACAATTGGTAACTAGAAAAGAACCAAATATTTCTCACATAAAAATATTTGGATGTGCCGTATATGTACCAATTGCTCCACCACATCGTACAAAAATGGGTCCTCAAAGAAGGCTGAGAATTTATGTTGGCTTTGATTCTCCGTCAATTATAAAATATCTTGAACCCATGACTTGTGATTTATTCACAGCTCGGGTTGCTGACTGTCATTTCGATGAGATAGTATTCCCAGCCTTAGGGGGAGAAAATGAGAAAAAGGACTCATGTACGAAAGAGATTACATCGAATGCAACAGAATTATCTTTTCTTGATTCAAGAACAAATGCATGCGAACAAGAAGTGCAAAAGATAATTCATTTACAAAATGTTGCAAATCAATTACCTGACGCATTCACGGATTCAAAGAAAGTGACAAAGTCACATATTCCAGCTATGAATGCTCCTGCCAGAATTGAAATTTCTTCAGAGAAAAATGAAAAAACTCTTGTAAATGAGTCTTCAATACGCAAAAAGCGTGGCAGACCACTTGGTTCAAAAGATGTAAAACCAAGAAAACTTAAAAGGCAAGAGACAATATTTGAAACAAAAGATGTTCATTCTCCAAAGAAAGATAATGAACAAACCGAGCATGTTGATATAAAAAATAATATCAACGAACAATTTGTTTCAAATGAGGATTTAACAATCTCTGAAGATGCGAATAACTCAGATGAAGATAGAAACGTTGATAATTATGAGATCTCAATAAATTACGTTTCTACGGGATTGCATTGGAACAGAAAAGACGTTCATGTAGATTATATATTCGCATATGCCATTGCCACAAACATCATGGATGAAAATGATGACATTGAGCCAACTTCAGTTGATGAATGTCGACGTAGACATGATTGGCCAAAATGGAACGAAGCAATTCAGGCAGAATTGAAATCACTTGAAAAACGAAGTGTTTTTGGGCTTATAGTTCCTACGCCAAAAGGCGTGAAACCAGTTGGTTTCAAATGGGTTTTTGTGCGTAAGCGCAATGAGAAAAATGAAATTGTGAGATATAAAGCCCGACTCATTGCCCAAGGTTTTTCTCAAATCCTGGAGATAGATTATGAAGAAACTTATTCCACAGTAGTTGATGCAACTACGTTGAGATTTTTGATAGGCATGTCTGTATTTGAAAAACTTCAAATGCGTTTAATGGATGTAGTGACTGCATATTTAATTTATATGGATCTCTCGATACTGACATATATATGAAAGTTCCTGGAGGGCTAAAATTGCCTGAGGTTTATAGTTCAAAACCTCGAGAGATGTTTTCCATAAAATTGGAAAAGTCACTATATGGACTAAAACAATCTGGCAGAATGTGGTATAATCGTCTCAGTGAATATCTGCTCAGAGAAGGATACAAAAATGATTCAATTAGTCCATGTGTTTTCATCCGTAGATCTAAATCAGGCTTTGCCATAATTGCAGTATATGTTGATGATTTAAACATCATTGGAACTTCTGATGAAATAGAAAACATTGCAAAATATCTCATGAAAGAATTTGAGATGAAAGATCTTGGGAGAACAAAATTTTGTCTTGGTCTTCAAATTGACCATTTGAAAGACGGGATATTCATCCACCAGTCAAATTACACGAAGAAGGTTCTGAAGCGGTTTTATATGGATAAAGCACATCCTCTCACATCCCCGATGGTTGTCCGTTCTCTCACATGATGATCCGTTCCGACCTCGTGAAGATGATGAAGAAATACTCGGTCTAGAAATACCATACCTGAGTGCGATTAGAGCTTTGATGTATCTAGGAAACAACACTCGACCAGATATTGCATTCTCAGTGAACTTATTATCCAGACATAGTTCGACCCCGACTAGGAGGCATTGGAATGTCCTTAAACATATTTTGCGATATCTCAATGGTACCATCGACCTTGGTTTATTCTAACGCAAAGGTGTCAAGGCCACTCTTGTTGGATATGCTGATGCAGGATATT